AATGGTCTATAGCTAACTCATTAACTGTATTTTGTAAAGCAAGCCTCTTTTGGTTATAATATAAGTTTGACGGTGCTTTAAACTCTTTATATTATTAATTTAATCTTCATGATATATTTTGGTTTTATTTTGATATGTCTAAAAATAAATTTTAAATTCTAGAATGATTCAAAAAAAAAAATTAATAATATAATAGAATAAAAAGATAAGAAGGAAAGAAGAAGAAAATAAATTTTTTTAATAAATATTAATTACATTAAGGGGGAACGTCACAGCTCACCTTTAACTCGTTGTAAATCTTTGTTAATCCTCTGTTTCTACCAAGTCTTAGTGATTCTGGTTCTCGACTCGTTCCGAGTCAGACGAGTTGGATTAACCCTTTCTGATTCTTGGCTGAGTCTGTGACTCACTGCTGTTTTCAGTGAGTCTTGGTGACTCATTGCTGTCCTACATACAAATTGAGGCTATTGGAGTGATTCTGGTATTTTCTTCACTCTGAAATATTGAGGTTTCAGAATCGGGTAACTTCTTTTAAACCCCCTGATTTTCTTTAGCATTGTTCAGTATTTTGAACCTGGTTATTAAGGTAAGCAATTCTCCATTGCTTTCCTTTGTCCAAGACCTCCTGCGAGGGTCTGGGAATTTGAGGGAGCAGTGGGTTCAAAGGGTTGTCCCCCTTAAACCTTGTTCAAGACTGAAACTTACTGTTTTCTAAATTGCAAATTGACTATTTCTGTGAATTGCATTGATAAGAATATTTACTTGCATCTATCGTGCTGTCTCTGTCATTCACATATTTTGATCAATTGTGCTTATTGCCTGAATCTTTATACCCTGTGTGTTGTATAATTGCATTTGTGAATATTATTTGTCATCATGTCTACTGCACATAAGTTTGAACTTGAGACATGGAATGGTACTGGAGACTTCAGTCTCTGGCGCCAGAAGATGAGGGCTATTTTACTTCAGCAAAGATGTGTTGCAGCCCTCAATGGTCAGTGGGCTGCAGAAACTAGTGCCTATAGAAGGCAGAAACTTGATGATACTGCATGGAGTTCCATTTTCTTGCATTTGTCTGATAATGTAATTAGAAAAGTTGGTGAAACTACCTCTGCACAAGTGTTATGGACTAAATTGGAATCACTTTATCTAACAAAGACTATGCCTAATAAGTGCTACCTCCTGAGGCTATTCTACAACTTTAGATTTGACCATTCATCTGATTTGGAAGATAACCTTGAAGATTCACAAAATTAATTCAGGATTTTGAAAACTGTGATGAGGAACTTTCTGATGATCAACAAGTAGTTGCCCTTTTAAACTATCTTAGTGATAAATATAAAGACATCAGAACTATTTTAGAATATGGGGGTGAGATCCTGACCCCCCATAAAGAACTTAAGCTGAAAGTTGAATCTAAATATCCTAAATATGGGGAAGGGTTGTACATAAAGGAGAAGTGAAATCCTAATAAGAAGCAGCCTACTTTTAATTTCAATCCTTACAAGAAAGTTAAGTCTCAAAATTTCAGATTTAAGGAAAAGAACAAAAATCATGTGAAATCCAAGAATCAAATCAGGAAGTGTTACTACTGTGGAAAGGCGTGTCATTTAATCAAATACCGTTTTAAGAAAATCTCTGAAGGATAAGAATAACCATGAGGATTCTGCAGCCTTAGTCTGCAAAAATGACCCTTATGTCCAAGGAGCTGTTCTTGTGAATACTTCTAAAAGAGACCCAAAAGAATGAGTTCTTGACTCTAGGTGCACTTTCCATATGTGTCCCAACAAGGAATATTTTTCTGAATTTGTTGAACTTAGTGAAGGGCAAATTCAAATGGGAAATGACATGAGTTGTCGAATAAAGGGAATTGGAAAGATCAAGCTGTCAATGAACAACTACATCCTTGGACTTGATGACTGCAGATATGCTCCTGAGCTTAAGAGAAATTTGATTTCTTTAGGTCAATTGGATGACAGATTCATTATAATGATCCAAAATGGTCTCTTAAGACTTAAACATGGAAACAAAACTGTTATATCTTCTTTGAAACTGAATGGGATTTATACTATCTCCGCTGATCCTAAAATCCACTACTGTTCTACAGCCTTAAACATTGAATCTAATA